TTGTTTGCTTGTTTGCTTGTTTGTTTGTTTGTTTGTTTGTTTGTTTGTTTGCGTGTTTGCATGTTTGCGCTCCTTTGTGTTTGTTTGTTGTGTTTGCAGTGTTTGCTGTGTTTGATTGTTTGTTTGCTGTGTTTTCAGTGTTTGCTGTGTTTGCTGTGTTTGCTGTGTTTGCTGTGTTTGTTTGTTTGTTTGTTTGTTTGATTGATTGATTGATTGATTGATTGATTGATTGATTGATTGATTGATTGATTGATTGATTGATTGATTGATTGTTTCTTTGTTTGTGTGTTTGAATGTCTGTGTTCCAAAGTCCAATCATCCCAAAGAAATGGGAGGTTTCCTTTTGGCCCAACAAACATCCTCAAACATAGACTTAGACAGAAGGTGACCTTGGAACCTCAAAAAGCACAGACCCCAAACTGCCCGAGGTCAGCAGTACCTAGGAGCGCAGACCCCAAAAAGCCCAGAGGGGTGGCTACAGCAAGAAAAGAGAATGACTCAACCCATAAGTGGCAGAACTCGACAATGACTCAAAGCCGAGGTCAACATGTTCAGCAAGATGGGGCTCAAGGACCGGATCCTCAAGGTCCAAGCCAACATCGAGCTGCGCACCGCCGGCCCCCCGGGCTTCGATTCGATTCGATGCGCCTGCGGCTGGAGCGAACGGGGGCGGAGTCCGTTTCTTTGGCGTGTGCGTTGTTTAGGAGTTGGCATACCTTATTGGTATAACCATTTTTGCGGCGGGGTTAAGGGGGAGGGGGGGGCTACTTTGATACGTACCCAAAGCATAGCCAAAGTTCAATTGTTTGGCAAGCTGAAATCATGACTTCACACTGTGGTCCGGCTCTATTTCGCTTTTTTGGTGGTTTTAAACATGACTAAGGAAGCTTCTTCATGGGAAACCATCGGAAACCCAGGAGAAACAGCAATCGGTTTTCGACAGAACGATGATTGTTGGAATCAACCCCGATCTTGTTGGGTTGCGACTCGTAGGACGGCTTAAGGAACGGCGGGGATATGGGTTGGGGGCGAGGGGGAAAAGGAAAGGAAGTTGGGTTATATGCGATATAAATTGCCATGCTTGGGTGTTTCAAGCATGGTTTCCTTTTCAGTTTCCCCCCCCCGGAACAGTGAAGCGGAAGCGGCCTCCCTTGCTCGCTTCCCTAGCTGAACCCCGGGAGCTCGGGAAGATCGCAAGCTGGCAAGCAACAAGGTCGATGTTCGTTTCTTTGGAGTTGGTACACCTTTTGGTTGGAAAGCCAGAATTTTGGTTGGGTCTCCCTATTTTCAGATAAACCCAATTCTGGCGACTTGTTCTGACACGAGATATTGACATCGCATGGCTGGCTCAGGCGTGGCAGAGGCTCATAGACAAAGAGGCCCGGGTTGTGCTGTTTCCGGCGAAGCGAGATGACTTGCCGCAAAGGAAAACGCGGCACTTGACAGGTTGAACGGGTTCGATCACAGAAGGGTGTGTTGTTTTTAGGAATGGGACCCCGCGAAACCAGTGCCTTTTTGGAACCGCCAAAATGGGGTTCCCTCAAAAGACGAGACACCCCGGAAAACATATGATTAAAGCGATCAGAACCGCTTTGAGTAGATGCCGAACAGTCTGAGGTGCTTTCAGGGACGAGGGGTTTGCAAGAGGTCACCACGACCCAGACCTCAAGTGGCCAGAAGCTGCCCTTCGGAAAGGACGCCTCACACAGTGTGAAGAGAAAAGCTTGGTTTAAAGGGACCGGGAGCCAGATGGGTCAGCCAATAGTGGGCCTCACTGCTGATGCAGGATTTGGGTCTGTCTTTTGTGAGGGTACCCCAAATTGGAGGGTCCGATTCCGAAAAAGATTGCCCAAATGGCGGTTACCAACGGTTTAGTCGAAGTAGCGTGCCGAGTGTGCCACTGGGCTGAGATCAAGGCCAATGCTTTCACTGTTGTCCGCCTGTGTTAACGCCGTGCAACGGCAGAGACGCGAACAGTCGCTCATGAGTGTCGTGGCGAGGCCGCATGTACCATCCGACACCCAACCCAACCCAACCCAACCCAACCCAACCCAGCCAACCCTCTTACCCCCTGTCAACCACCAGCCGCACAAGCCACCCAACCGCCCAACGAACCACCCAACCAACCGACTGGCCACCCAACAACCCAACCAAGCCTCTTCACTAACCACCCCCAACCACCCAATGAACCACCCAACCAAACCAAGTAGCCACCCAATAAACCACCCAATAAACCACCCAACCCGACCCAACCAACCATCTCACCCTGCCACTTACCACCCAACCAACCACTCTTCCCCCCTGGCACTAACCACCCCCGCCCAAGGAACCACCCAAAGCCACCCAAAAAACCGCCCAACCCAACCCAACCAACCCTCTTACCCCTGCCACTCCAGCCAATCACCCAAACAGCCACCCAACCACACAACCACCCAACCACCTGAACGACCCAGCCAATCAAGCCACCCAATCCCAATGTGCTGCCACCAACGCCCAACCCAACCAACCCTCTACCCCCAACCGCCCAAGGAACACCCACCCAACCCAACCAACTAACCGCCCAACCACCGCCCAACCCAACCCAACCCAACCAACCCTCTCCCCTGTCACTAACCCGGCAACAGGTATGATGCGCGCCGTGGATGGGAAGCCTTGCAGTACCTGGAATGCCAGGCGCTTGAAATGGGCACCAGCTACAGCGTACGCCCTGGATGGGAAGCCTTGCAGTACCTGGAATGCCAGGCGGTTGACATGGTGCGCCCTGGATGGGAAGCTTTGCAGTACTTGGAATGACAGGCGCTTCACATGGGCACCAGCTGCGGCGTGCGCCCTGGATGCAGTACCTGGAATGCCACATGGGCACCAGCTGCAGCGTGCGACCTGGATGGGAGGCTTTGCAGTCTGGAATGCCAGGCGCTTCACATAAGCACCAACTGCAGCGCGCACCCGGGATTTAAATTGATTGCGGTTGACTGCCATAGGATGGAAAACAGTGGATGATCCCCACTTTCAAATCCATGGGATGGATGTTGCTTACCTAAGCCCAGTTTGGGTTCCGCGTCCATACTCCGCTGTGTCAAAATACTGGTTGCATCCCTTCAAGCCAACAAAAGGCCACCAAAAATGGGGCAACCCTGCAAAACGATGCCCGCCAGTCTATCCCAAAACTCTTTTTATCCTAGGGCTCCACCCCGACCAGCTGCGCTGCGGCAGGGCCAGGCATTTGTTCAGGGAGGCATGAGTAAGACACGATTCTACATGTGCATGTGTATAGATAGACACAGATGTCGAACGCATATGTCTGCATGTCTAGATGTACTTGTGTTTGCAGTGGCAAAGGGATGCCCTCCCGCACCCGCCCCCACCCCCCACCCCCCACCCCCCACCCCCCACCCCCACCCCCACCCCCACCCCCACACCCACACCCACACCCACACCCACACCCACACCCACACCCACACCCACACCCGCACCCCCACCCACCCACCAACCATCACTTGCCGCCCGCCCCACCCCCTTGCACTTCCCATGCCCAGCAAACAATCTCGACAGTTTTTGATGGTTATGTCTTGGCTGGCTTGTGTCTGGATGACGCAGGGAATGCAGGGGATGCTGAGGAGCTTCAACAGAACACGTCAGCCGCACACGCTACGGGTCGGGCCCTTCGGGCTCGAGGCCACATGGCGCAGCATGATATTTTGGACTAAACGGGCCTGTTTTTTTCAGGGTACCCTTTTGTTTTGAAATGGACACCAAAAGGCCCAACCTTAAGACAGACACACCCACATGGGACAGAACCCAAAATTTTCACCGCGGAGCCAGGTGATGGCGGGCAAGGTGATCAACGCCGCCCTGCAGGCGGGGAGGCTTCCGATGCTATTCATGACTTGGCGGTCCCCAGCCGTCCTGTTCCTGAGGTTAGCGTTTTAGTTGGTTTAGTGGTGGTTTGTTTCCAACAAGTGCTCGACTTGCTCAGGGAAGAAGCAAGCCTCGAAGAGCACCGCAAAAAAAGGGGGAATGGGGCTGTTGCGGGCTAAGTGATGGTCGTAGGCGAGGTGAATCTGCCGCAAAGAGGAGGTCGTGGGCCCGAACCAGAAAGTGCCAATATCCGTGAGGTCTCTTTGAACGTGGTATGAGATTCTTGGGGGCGGGGCGGAAGCGAGCAGTCCCAGCCTGGGTCTTGACAAATGCCATTTACGAAAACTGGTTAAACATGAATTTGGGTGGTCTCGACCTTTGGAGATCTTCATTTGTGAAGTTCAACTTTGGTGTAAACTGGAGAGATGAGGTGGCCCAAGAAGTTTCTGGTCTTTGTTTGGCGTTGCGCTTGGGTAACTGTTAGAGCTTCCAAGTTACAAACAAGAAGCAGGGATTTGGCAGCCGGAATCTGGGCATATGGGTCTTGCTGCTTTCCCTTCAAAACCAACGATAAAGGATACCCTGCAAAAAAGGACGCTGGTGTCCTTCACGGGGAATCTTCACGCATCTCTGTTTGCCCCCCGCGAATCTGGGTTTCCCAATTACATGGGTGTGTTTGTTTTACGGAGTCGGACCTCCCTCAATGATGGTTTCTCCTTTGAAATCTCTCCCAAACAGGGATACCAACTCCTCAAAAGAAGAATATCGGCCCAGACAAAAGTTTTTTCATTTTTTTTTTTAAAGCGGGGGGGGGGGGGGGGCTAAAAACAGACAAGCCACCCATAGGTTTTCCCAAGTTACCTCCCCCCCGCCCGCGGCGACGAACGGCTCGACAACTCCGTAGGCGCTGCTCCTGCTTGTGGTGGGCAATGCCGGCGCCATGTAGGGGACCTCAGGCACGTGGCATCTAGGGGTTGGGGATCCTTTCGGGACCCAAGAGAAAACCGTAAAGGGGGGGTGGTGTCGCAAAAAGGTTCCACCTGCGTATGAGTAATTCATACATCATACGCATTGCCCTTGACAGCATGATCTTTTAATGTTTCAATATCGTTTCAATAGAGAGGGGGTGCTTCAGGTATTTCGCCCCATTGGGTGCGAAATTTCATGGCCCCTGTGGTCGACAATCATTTAGGTGGGGACAATGCCACCAACTTGGCGGTTTGTGAAATATTGGCCCCCCAGAATGCCCAGCAAAGGCGTGTCCACCATCTGGAGAACACTCATTTGATTGTTGGAGCACAAAAGCGCACTGAATTGTCATTTTTTTAGAAGCGGACTACGAAGTAGAACATTGGTGGTTCCCAGCCATCCCCTTAGGTTTTAGGATGTTAGTCGGTTTAGTGGTGGTTTCCATGTCACCCACAAGTTAAGCTTTTAGCAGGGGATCAAGAAACGGACAGCCCAGGAGCATGTACGTGCAAGAGGAGCTCACTCAACCTAGGGTCCAAGGTTTCAACATGAAGCTTTGTTCCTGGCCAAGCGACCAGCATCACTTGTGTTTTTTGGGACTTTGCCGCGGCAAGGGAAGTTTTGAAGGGATCTAACCTCGCACGATTGATTGTCTTTTTTTGAGGGAATGCTTTCAGATGGAAACCAAAGTGAAACCGCTGGGATGGGTTTGCCCTTTTTAGCGACAAGCCCATCTTTCCCCGGCGGGCACAGAATTGCATCCGGTGGGCAGGACTTGGTGACTGGCGTGGCTCCGGGGATTTGGGAATGTGGAAGATTTCTTCACTCCTGTGACACCCCTTACTTTATCGTTTTAGGTGTGTTTGTTTCAGTTGTTTGGTTCTGTCCATGTTAAGCCACTGGAAAGCTGAACCTAGTGGTTCCCAGCCATGCCCTTGTATTTCCACAAACCACAATTTTGTTTTCGACTTTAAGAAGGGGATGAGACGGACAGCCCAGTTAAATCAAGTGGGTATTGCCAGTTGCATATCCTCGAGTTCCATACCTTCGTAAGCCCCCGCCGATACTTGGCTGGTGAAGATCTGAGAATCAGCAGGCCCTTTTCTCGTGTACAAATGCGAGATTCCACTAGAAATGTAGGGGTCCATGTCAGTTTTCACGCGAAGCAACCACACCACACACAAGTGAGATATGTCGTTTCATGGTTTGCTGAGCTTCCAAGTGCCAGGGTCACAACCCATGGCAAAAAATAAAACAGCAACAAGACCATGTGCTGTGAAAGGACGAGATCCATTTCGCACCACCTGAGACACCCCGTAAGAAAGATTTCCCTGTAAACATCGGCAAACAATGGTTTTCCATGCTTATTTGGTGGTGCGACCGGCTTTCGTCCATCCACAGTATCAATAACGTCTCGTGTTGTTTTCCTTTGCGACTTGACTCCAAAGCGAAGCCCTTCGGTGACTTAAAACGTGCTCCAAGACGGCAGCTCTCTGGGAACTTTTACGCCTACCACATGAACAAGCTTCTGGAGAACCGGGGATGGCTGGGGCCGGGGGCCGGGGAGGGGGGTTTCTTGTTGCGTGATGGGGCTTGGATCCTTTTTGTTGGGGGCCTAACGACTCCCAGTATTGTGGGCGGTTTCAAAAAAACAAAAAATACGCAAACAAGCTCCTATTGAGGTCGCATGCGGTGCGTGAATTGACACACTTGCAGCCACCTGCAGCCACTCGAGTGGCTGCAGTGGCTCTTGTGCTGCCGCGCCGAGTGTTGCTGGTGATGCTGATGATGCAGGGGGTGTTGCCGAGCACTGTTTTCAGCACAAAAGACTGACAGTTTTTGTGCTGAAAGTTCGGCGCGTTGCGAGTGGCTCCCTGCTGGGCGATGCTGATGTTGTGTAGAAAGCTCGTCCCGTGACTGGTCCGTCTGCACTTTCTGCGATGAATGTTGCATTACTGGCTACGCCGAGTATACCCGCTGAAACCTTATTCACCACAAGCAGTGCTGTAGCTTGTGTGCTGAAAGCTCATGCAATGCTGCTGGCTCATGTGCCGAAACGAAGGGCTGCTTACCAAACAGTATTGCTGCCGCGTGCGCTGCGGCCACTTGCAGCCACTTGCAGCCGCTGGAGTGGCCGCAAGTGGTCGCCCAAATTTGAATGTCCGCAAGTGGCCACAAGTGGCCAACATCAAAACGAGGCGCTTTTGCTCGTCCCCTGCAACCTTCCATTTGCTGAAATAATCCTTTTTCCCTGTTGGTTTTAGAGGGAATCGATTTCACTACTGGACATGCCTTTTATTTTTGAGTCTTTTTTTCAGAGGAGTCAAGCAAATGGAAACGGCCCATTTTGGGGTGCCCCTTGTTTGCTTGGCCTTCTGGACTTGATACTTTTGGGTCTGGACCGTCTTAGGCTTGCACACGAGGGTGTGTCTTTCTGTTTTTACGCGACCCCAAAATTGGTTCTTGCCTTTTGGTGTCCCTTCAAAGACCACAAAAAAGGGGTGCCCTCAAAACAAGACGCACCCACAAAAAGTTTGTAGATTGGGCTTGTTTTGGCCAGTTTATACACTCCCATGATTGACTCAAGAAAGTGTTAGAGTACCCCAACCAAGTGGCTTGAACATCCGCGACACCAAAAAAGGGTTGCGGCTAGCTTCCTGTTGAATTTCCCCTGGCCTTGTTCTCAGGGGAAGATAGTTTTTTCATAAAAGACATTCCAGACACAATCGTTTGTCAAGGCCATGGTTCACCATTTCCTGCCAAAATAAGGATTCGGACCCCCAGAAATGGCTGGGTGTCCTTTAAAACCACCCCCCAAAAAAATGGGTGCCAACTCCAAGATTCCAACAACAAACGATGAGTTTCCTTGAAACCACAGAAGGAGTCACCATCCTTTCTTGCATTCACCTTTTCTCAGAGGCCAACCGTCCGGTTGGACCCGGACGCATCCGAAGGACCTGGGGGAGGAGTTCCTGGGCGCGGCAGCCAACAAGGTCCAGGAAAAGAAAGAGAAGCAGGCGCCGTAGACATTTCGGATCTCCAACACATCGTTTTTTGTTTTTTGTCGTTTTTTGCGTTTTTCCATGTGGTTCCTGAACGGTTTTTGGGTTTTTAGTGGGTTTTGCGTTTCAGTTTCTTGGTGGTTTCTTCAGCCATCCCCAGAAAGGTGTTTAGTGGTTTTTAGTGGTTTAGTCGTTGGGTTTCCATTTCCAAAACTTCGAGAATTTGTGCGTTTCGGTTTCTGGGTTGTTTTGGCCATCCGGTTCAACTTGGACTTTCATCGGTGTTTAGTTGGTGGTGGTTGGGTTTCTGAGCTTAACCGAATAAGAGTTAAGCTGTTAACAGGAGATCAGTTTGGACAGCCCAGAGAAACAGGTGCCGTAGGGATTCGGACCCCTTAAACTGCAAGTTTAGCTTTTAAGTATCTGTTTTTATTTCTGTTTTTTTCCCCTTTCAGGCAATCGATATTTGTTGGAACCCCACTTTTGTCAAATGAGCGCAACCCCAAACCTCAGGAGCTTTGAATCATTTCCTTCTTTCTTTTGGCTTTCTCAATTTCTTTGGAACCCCGCAAAGTCGGGCTTTCCTCAATTGGTGGTTGGTTGAGTTGGTGGTTTGGATTATTGAATCTTGGGACCCCATAGGTGTATGTGTCGGCCAGCTGGGCCAGCCGATTCGAACCCCGAAAATGGCTGCTTTCTGTTGAAACACAGCGATTTGTTGGAACGTGACTTGCCGAATTAGGAAATCACCCCTGACCATCCCGCTGTTGTTTGTTTGTTTGTTTGTTTGTTTGTGTGTTTGTGTGTTTGTGGTTTTTAATTGTTGCCTTTAAAGGGATTGGTTCATTCCCAACCCCCCTTTTTGATTCACTACTGAGAACATGCTTTCTGCGGCCCTTTTCAGGTTTTTTAGGAATTCCCAACATCGGGAATGCCATCATCTGAAAAAATACACATCAGTTCAGAGGCCTGAAAAGGGGGGGCACCAAGTGCCCTTTAAAGACTCCTTTTGCAGAAAAGCCCGGACCAGGCTCAAAACCTGGGCTGGTTGAACAGTAAACCAAAAGGAAACCCAACCGACCATCTTGAGGGGTCCCCTATATTGACACAACCCCACGTAAGTATGTATCTCCAGTGACAAAGTTCGGGGCATATGTCCAATTCGTCGCCCTTTTGATTCTTTGCATGGTGGGCAATCTTAGCACTTGAGCCATCATCTTGCAAGGACTGGGTTGTGCAGTTGAGATGCATGGAACCATTGAAAGGCCTTTAGCAGTGGTACGGTGATGCCCTAGGTATTGCAAGGGAACAAGGCAAACCCAACTTATTCAACCAAGAAGTGTGGTTGGCTTACTTGCAATATGGCGAACGGGGCATCCACCGCACAATCCATGGACGCGGACGGTGGATGTTGGGCTTCCCGAGCTCTTCTGTCCACGGTTTGTCGTTTTTGGAAACCGAAGCCAGGGTCCAAATCCCTTCGACGAGCCATACTCACCTCCATGTTGCAAAGAGGGTATTGAGTCTTCACTGTTGTTGGCATGTTTTTAGGTTTCTCGCGTTGTTGGTTCTGTTCATTTTGAGTAGGGGGCAGGACAAAGCAGCTTTTTTTCTACCATGCCACGGGTTGTGAAACGTGTTTAAGGGTTCTGATTAGAACACACAAAAAGGCACGCAGGTGTCCCGCCTTGGCCACCAATGGCAACACAAATCCATCCTTCAGATTCAACCTGGAGGGATCCGATTCCGGGCCATCCTGCTTACCACTTGCTTTACAATGGGGTCCTCGAAATCAGCTGATACATGCGATGTTCTAGCTGATTCACACGTATCCCTCAAGGGACCCGGTGTTTTTCAGTGTTATTCGGAAAAGGTCATGAGCCAGGATGTCAGGCATCTCCTCATTGGTGGGTTGGATTGGTAGTTTGGGGATTGGAACCCCTTGTTCTTGTAGCAAATGCGGAACATGACCGACCTCAAACCACAAATCCAAACCACCGAGAAGGAAGCTGAACTATGTTTTGTCGCAGCCAAAGGTTTGGGGCAGTTGTACCCCTTCTTGCGGCTTTAAACGGAAACCCAAAGCAACACCAACACCAGTTTGTACCCTTCCTCCCACATAGCACCTGTAGGGTACCCGAAGATGAATTGAGTTTTTGTGTAGTGGGATGTCAGTTTTAGGCGGCAGGGTGCCGCACATGTGCCATCGAAACACCGATCTACTTGGGGTTGGTAGCCGTTTTGTGCTACCCCCAAGGCGAAGTGATTCCCAGGGGTTCTCCTTCTGGGGTACGTTCCCCTGATTAAGTCGAGCTAGGAAGTCACAAAAACGGAACCGGGAAGGGCCCACAGAAGTTTTGACGGCACACTTGGACGGGCAGAGTACTAGTAGGGCACTTACTAACCATGGTTGTGACCCACTTGCCATGGTTATAACTCCCCTAAGTGGGTGAGAACCAGGGTTGCCAGCTTAAGCTGCTCAGTACCCTGCCCCGAGCACGCGGTCGCCTTGTCAGGACGAGAGGCGAGGGCTGGAGCGCACCGAGGATTCGGACGGAGAGTCCGCCCGGAAGCCCAGCGGACGAGCGGTTGTCCTCGTTTCGCTTTTGGGGGGAGCGTAAGCCGTCTCATATGCTACACCCGACTGAAGCAAATGCCAAAAAAGGTGGGCTGCACTCGCTCCATTGGGAGGTGGGAGGTCTTGAGCAAGGAGGCGCAACTAATTACCAAAAGAGGTAAGAGGACATGGCCACTGGGGGGGGGGGGCTCATGATTGTGGAAATAGGGATTTAGGTTGCCACTTTCTGTACGAAGCGAATCCCAAGTGAGAAAGGTCATGGGAATGACCCTGTGTAAGCCTTCGGGTGATTTTTCACTTGGGACTTTGAATTCCAGGGCTTCATCATTTCCACTTGGGTGGCTTCAAGCATCAGCTGTTGGAAAGACACCACTGATTTGTGCCGCGTTGTTTCCGGGGGGGCGGGGGGGGGGGGGGGTTGTTGGAGGTATGCTTTTGGATCCGCTCATTCTTAGTGGGGGCTGCAAAACACGAAATCTGTTGCTAGCACCGTTCGGGTTGGGAACCTGGGGTTCCGGGTCCGGTGAGGGGGCAGGGGGCAAGAGCCGAGAGTCCAGCTGCCAGAAGTTGATAGTTGAACAAGAGCTTGGTTACTCCCCCACAGATTCTTTCTGACAAACAAGGGGGCCGATGTTCTATCATTGTGTTTGGCGTTTTTGGAGCAACCATGTTGAAAACTTGTTGTCAGCCTGGAAAGCTTCTTGAAGCGGCGCCAGCAAGGTCTGCGGCTTTTCTAACCCGCTAAACAGTCCTCATGAGCGGGATCAGCACGGACATCTTATTCTGTGACATGTTGCGTCGACGGCGACCTCTCCCGCTGCGCGAGCTCCGGCAGACCGAAGGTTGGAATTGCGGTCAAGCGCCGGGACAGGCGAAGCAGCGCTCAGCTTGTTGAGCAGAAGCAGGCGATCAGGCCATAGCGCGCAAATGGAAGGGCCAAGTATCAAACCAACCCTGCGTTTTTATGGTTGGCTTGGGCAAAGGAAAAATGGCTCAGCTGTTGGGGACTCAACCAGCAGATAGATGTTTCGATGGGCGCCAGGATTCCAGTTTAGACCCACACCCAACTATCTGGAACCAAAATGAAATTGAACCCCAGGGATGCAGCGAGTCCGCTGTTGTTGGTTTCCATTTGTGAGCGGCGGCAGAAGCGCCGATGCGGATTTTTGCGGGAAACTTCCCTGGCAACTTGCCAACTCCGAAAACGGTGGAGTGTTTCCTTAAGTACTGGAGCTCTGCCAAACAATCTGTGGGTGTCTCTTTTGAGGCCTGCATTTTTGGGGTGACTCAACAAAACTAATGAAAGGGGACACAATTTCGGGGTCCGCTATTATTCTAAGACACACCAACTTGTTTTCTTCTGCCGAACGAGCTCAGCGAAGAGCGAAGGGTACACACGACGGGGCCCCATGATGAAGGCTTTCCAGATTGAAAAGTCTTGCGATGTGCCTCTAAATCCTCCTTCTTTGTTTGTTTGCGCGGGGGTCCGATTTCCCTTGAAAATCTGTTGCTTTCCCACCCCCTTTTTGCAAGGTTTTTAAGGGAAACCACAAGTTGAACCCAACCCTTTTCGGTGGTCCCCTGTGTCCCCGACGTGGACGCCTGCTCCGGCGCCGAGGACAACTCCAAGGGCTCCAAGGGCCCAAGGAGAGGGGGAGCCGCGCGGGAAAGATCAAATCCCAGACCTGTGGGGCGCCGGTGTTCTCCAACCTTATAGGGGGTGGGCCGTTTTGGAAATCAACTACCCTCTTTCTAACAACCATGGTGGTTTAAGTGGACTGAGGGTTCCTCAAAAGGAAAGTAGTCTTCTAACACCCTCCGATCGTCAGCTTCCATGACTATTGGAGGAGAGTACCAACAAATGGGCGCGCTTTTGGCCACTGGGGGTCCAGGTCTGGGGATGGCTCCCTTGTTCAACTTCTCTTTGGAGGGTGGGCCCCTTGTGCAAAGCAACCAAAAGATTGGACCCAACAAGTCAAGAGTGTACTCCCCGGAATGGGCTTCGGGTTCCTTTTGGTTTCCCCTTAAACCACCCCCACAACAGGATCTGGACCCCCCGTAACTGGTAGTGCCCCTTTTCCCAGACAAGCGGGGTCCTTTTCAACTTGTTTTTCTTTGAAAACAGTCAACAAAAAAGGGGGCGCCTGTAATTTCCCATGGCCACCGGGGTTCTGGTGAAATCGGTGACTCTCCAACCATATGATTTTGGTGAACACTTTGGTTTTCCATGCAGTAAAAAGAGCCTCAAAAAGGGTAGCAACTCAAAGAAAGACACCCAAAAGTTCGTGAGCAAAACCTCCATCTCTTCTCACCCAACTGTAAGTACATGAGTTCTTAGGCTTCCCTTGGATAGGAACTTGTTGGTTCTTAGGAAGCATTCTTACACCGCACAAATGCGTAGGTTGTACCGCCTGGTTTCGTAGGGTTCATAGTACGGCCTGTGAACCGTAGAAGAGCGTCCTTGAACGTCCATGCGGGCGTGCGCCGAGTTGAAGGCAGTGGTGGACACTATTGCTCTTGGCAACTCCATCAGCCATAAGAGTCACTACTCGGAGCACTTGTCGTAAATCTGCGCGAGCTTTTGCACCAAAAAGGCAATCGCAAAGCAGCAGCTTGCGTCTCATCGAGATTCCCGGACAGCGTCGTTGAAGGATTCACCCAGGAATCACTTGGTACATGTAGAAATCCTTTAAGATTGGTTAAGGTGGTGTTTATTTGTTCAAAAGGCGGCGAATGATTGAATTCCAGGTTGAGGGTAGCGAATCGCTTGGTTAGTCCCCCTGGCGACAGGGGACTTACTAGCCATGGAACATTTAGCCAACTGTAGGTGTTTTTCAGGGACCCCCCCAAACAAAAAAGTGTTTTCCTTATGGACGCCCTTTACAACCACCAAAAAAGAGGTACCCTCAAGAAAAGGTACACCGAACTACCAGACCATGTCAGTTATCTAAGTAAATGTTTTTCCAGTCAGCTAAACCCACCCTCAGAAGGCAAACGAGCTGACCGATCCCGGGTAAAAACTGAAGGTTCCTTACTCGGGGGTTGCTGCTTTCCAGTTTATGAATGAACTATTTGCCCAGACAGCTGGTTGGTGACTGCGAGATGCCCACTGATCAACCGTTTGCCTTTTTGGTCTTCCTTCACCCGCATCTTGGTCCCAATGCCCAGTGATGCTCAGGACAATTTCTCTTTCAACCAGAGAAAGCCATTTTTGCAGGGGGTCCACTCTTGCGCTTCAGAAAGGTTTTCTACGAACCCTCAATACAGAATCTAGGCAACCATTGTAAGAGCTCCCATCAATGAAGATCGGACCATGACCCAAAGCACTTCACCAGTTGTTGGACGTTAGTCACTTTTTGACGAAAGACGTTTTAGTGCTAAACTACAAGCTCTCAGATTTTTCAAGACCATTCGGAAACTGAGCCATACTATGGGCGGCACTCTGAGCCAGTTGGAATGGCTTAACCCTCTGAACAATGAGAGCCATCTATCAACTGGTTCAGGATTTCTTCCAACAGTACCGCAGATGGTCGCTTTTTTTGGAACTAATGGACCCCGATGAACTGGTCCGACTAATAGGGGTGTCCTCTCCAAAAGTGGTGAATCCGCACTAAATGGGAGCCCCCGTATCAACATTCCAAGAATGCGTTAATTCGGTGGTCTCGTTGTCAAGTCCGTAGTTCTAACACACCCCACTTTCCCATCTTAGGCCGCGGCCTAACACTTCGCCGCGACCCCGCTACCGAAACGCCCCCTGCCATATGTCGGTGCCCTGTCTGGTTGAGGATAGATGGCGCCATACTGGTAGATCGGATAACATTCCCCCCAACAAAACTCGGACAACAACAAAGCAACCAATCTCAAAAAGGAAGTCGTTTCCCCTGACAAACCCAAATCTCCATCTTAAGAATAGTGGTGTCCCTTCAAGCCACCGGGGTGAAAAATAGATGGCGCAAATCCCTTGATTGGGATCTTCTTTCACCCAACTGAACCCTCGAAAACACACATCCATCGCCAGACCAAGGCTTACCTGGGTGTCTTTTCTTAGGTCACCCCACCAAAACAGGGGGACCCTCAGAAAAATGACAGGGCCTACCCTGTTATATAGCTTTTGGTCGCCGTTTTGGTGTTCCATAATTTTTCCCAGCAATATGTAATCACTTTTTGCGGGTCGAAATCTGGCCCAGTTATTCCAAGGGGCTTCAGAAAGATGGCTATCGGAGACCTGATAGCTTTCCGATAGGCAAAACAAACAAATATCTTGACGGTTCTCAAAACAGTGGTCCCCTAAATTGACAAATAGTGCATTCTCGATGTTTCTCAAAGACGTGGTGTTTCTAAGTTTGCTTGGTGTCCCTTTGATCGGGCGTCCCTTTTTGTCCCCCGGGTTTCGGGCGGCAGCGTTTGGTTCCCGGACCGTTCGGGGTTGGGGAAGGATGCGGAAGAAGCTGGGGCAGGTGGAGGTGCCCCAGGGCCAGGCGGGCGGAAATCGGTTGGGTTTCCAGTGATCCGTTGCCAACTTGGACTCCAAACAGGGGTCGATGCCTAGATGTCCAACTGTTTGGTGATTCTAAACATCACCTTTTTTGCATGTGTTTGCTATTTTAAGGTGAGTCTCCCTTGGTAGGGTGATGTTTTGAGGGGAAATATGGGGAGCGCTGAACAAGGTTTCCTTTAACAGGATGTTTGGGAGTTTTAGCAGGGTTTCCTTTAACCACTTCCCTTTAAAGTTGGACTCTCCAAGAGTGGCGATCGGTTTAATGGAAACCACCAGTTAATTGCAACTTCATGGGAAATCCAGTGACGACTGACCAAGCTTTTCCCTGCAAGCTAACATGGCTTGCAAGACAAATTCCATTTCCCAGACCCGGAGATTCCGATCCTAAGGGCGGTTTTTGGGTTTCATCTTAATCTGCAGGGTGACGCCATTCTTGGAACCCCTTTGGGTGGATCCCATTAGAGCCCCGACAGCTGGTTTCAACTGGTTGCAAAACCGGTAGAAGGGGTCCTCCACGAAGCCCGATTTCTCACTTGTCCAAAGCGAGTCGACCTGAAATGAACTTTGGTTTTCCTGGCTTGGTCCATATCTTGGCAGGCTGCAAGTGAGCCAGTTCTAGGGTAAAACACCCATCCCAACTGGCGCGGAACGGACTTTTTTTTAGCCCGGGAGCCCACAAAAGGAAGCCGGCGTTTTGTTTCTTCTCCTACATATCGGTCAGGTCAGAATCTCCGGTTCGGAACTCCAAGATTCAGCCACAAAGACCAGGGGACGAGCCCTAAACATCCCCATGCGGGGCCGTGTCTTCTTTTTCACGGGGGTTTTTGGCCAAAAACATTAATAGTAACATGATGGTTTGTCTTTGCTGCTATTGCCCAGAGGTTCGTTGATTGGGACGCAAACCCTGACCCGAAGCTGCACAGAAACAAGGATTGGCTGATCCTCTTTCTGTCGGCAAAGCTGAGGGAGGTGTCCTCCAAAGCGAGAGGGTTTGGTGTGCTTCCGCGATCCCGTCAGTGATGCTGCAACTAAAGGAACAAAACATCAAGGACCATCCGGGATGGACTTTCACCAGATGAAATTGCTGGAATCAGTCCTGGGAACTAAGCTTCGGGCATCTCAAGACGATGGGCGACACATACTCGGCTGGCGGATTTTGAGAAGTGGAACCTGAATATTAGCTGCGAGGTAGCTCGGCCCTTTTACCAAACACTGGACGAGCAGGGTTGTTCCCTAAGGGTTCTTCAAGAGGCTGATCTGGCCTTTGTTTCAACCACCAATTTCGGTTCATGACGAGCCCTTCTTGGAGTTTTCTGGGATGTCCAGCTTGGTCGTGCAACGGCAAAGATGAGTTTAAAGCCGCGTGTGTTTGGAACCCCTGCTATCTTCTTTTGGCTGGTTCCAAAACAGACCTCACGCAGTTTTGCCCGATGTTTCATGGCCATTGACCTTGTGGTTTTGGGGTTCCTTGCCATGTTTCTTTCCCTAAAGGAACTTTGGGGTCGCCCATCCGGAGGGGCTGCGGGCACCTTTTTTTTGGTGCCGGGAGGGTTCCGTCTTTGTTGGGGATGTGCCAACTTCATGTGCCAGGATGGATGAAGCCCTACACCTCTTGGGACAAACCACCTACCAACTGTTGAATGTTGTGTGAATGTGTGCTAAAATTGGGGGGGACCCCTGAAATTGTGGCCTTTGACCCCAGGAGAGGCGGGTAATGAGCTCGCAAGGGGCTCAGAGAGTGGAGAGAGGGCTCGGTGGATTCCAAGAAAGGCCCTTGATCTTTTTGGCCCACTTCTTCGGTTTGCTGAATATGGTATGTTTTGTGCTCCGCTGCGGTTTTAAAGGGAACCTATCGGATATCGCGATTGGAACAAGTTTCATATGTTTTCCGGAGGACGGACAAAGCAGATGGAAGACCTGCGGCTCACTAAGCTTCCCATGTCCTCTTGGATGAACAAGTAATTTTGACCGTGGCAACAACATGCAAAGCAAGTAAGCCGGCCACAAAGCATGGCCGGTTTACAAGGAGCTCTCGGTATTCTGCTTGCACTCGCTTGCCCAAGGACCCGTAAACACAAATCACAGCAACCTGTTGGGGTCATGACTGCACCCCTCTTGCCTGCCTGGCGGAACAGCCATTGCCTGGAGTGTTTTTGGACTGGTTTCTCTCGGGTTTCTTTCAAAACGAACCACCGTGGCTCAAAATTACGGACCCTTTTTTTCTTCGTCCACAACGTGGGAGTTGGGGCACCCCATTGATGAGCCATAGCCAATTGCTTGAGGATTCCCTGCATACTGCAACTGGGCCACATCACACTACGACAGACGTATGACATTGATTCCCCCCCCCCCCCGAAAAGAAATCAGTGGGAGCGCTTTAAGAGGGGCCTGACTTAGGGTGTTTCGCGCCCTTTGACAAGTTGCGTCAAACCCCACCGTCTTGTGGTAAGAAAACCCCCCAACCCGGATTGCATGGCTTCCCTCTACTTGCAACATTTAGAGAGCCGAGGCCACACTCGTGCTTTTGCACAATTCTCTACCTTGGGTCTGATTTTTGGGCTTTTCGGTCCGTGAATGCAACCTGAATCAGGCTCTCGATTTCTCAGACCTCTGGTGCCGTTTGCCCTTCTTTTGGGGGTGTCCCTTACGAACGACCAATAAGAACACATGGGTGTGTCTTTTTTGTAGTTGCCAACAACCATATGTTGGCAATTCAAGACAAGCTTTGGTTTAAACATGCGTGGGCAAGGGGTTGACTTGCCCAACTTATCCCCCAGGCAATTTTATGGCGGGCATGCCGGGCCCTGTTAATGCCCAAAGAACCGCTGGTTTCAACGCATTTTGCTTGGCTTTGAGGGTTTTGTGCTGCACAATGGTGTCAACCCAGGAGACCCTGCCCGCTGAGGTTGCAGTCGCTGTCCTTGAAGTGCCAAGTGCTGGTAGACGCCCGGCTCCGAGCCAAGCTACCCCAAAAACACAAAGGTTGATCTGGGCCTCCATGCAGCGTTCTGTTTTTCTGGTAAGAGTGGCAGGGTGAAGCCAGGTTGGAAATCTTGGAATCGTTCCCTCGCGTGTCTCCCTCTTTTTGCTGAATTGATAGTCTGATAGTCTTTCTCAGCTAATGTTAGAGGTCATGGCTGGTAAACACGCAACTTTTTCAGTGGCACCGTAAACGCACATGGAAGCGACCCATGTCCATGAAACAAGTTCTCCATGTGAAGCTCTGTTCTTGGATGGTTTCGCGGGAGCAACCCTACAGTTTGGAGAGGTCCCTGATGTTCAAAGGGCTATCTTTGGGTTGGTATGGTGAATGCCCGTGCCATATTGCAAGTCAACCAGGTTCCAGAAACCCTGGAACGATTGGATTCCCCTGTAAAAACCTAGCAGATAGCATGGTCCCAACTATGGTTTCATTTCGTCCAGGGTTCCAGTTGTTTCCGCCTGTGCTGCACCGCCCCCAAATCACAAGACCCAGGGGAAAACCGAGTAATTTTCTTATTAGAAGCACATGTAAAGTTAATAAAGGGTACTTGTACATTTCAATATATCATTGATCATATATACAGATATGTGATATGTGCATCAAGTTTCCCCTTGTGGGTGGTGGTTTCGGGGTAGCCTAGTCCCTCTTGCGTCCGTCCCCGGCAACGAATCGATCGCCCAGGCACTGCGCGGCCACGCGGCCCGGGACCGGCCGGCCATCGTCACCAAAGCCTGCGCTCCTCGCCGCGCTTGGCTGCGGCCCAAAAGGGAAGTGGGGGGGCAAGGGGGTTCCTCAACTGGGTCCCCCAGTGCCCTTTTACCCTTTTTTGGTTTGGAGGGCTCCCCTGTCATAATAGACTACAGAAAGAAGGGTACCCTTATTCTAACCTCTCTACTGGAGGACCTAGTCAAAGCCATGCTCACTCCCCGAGTTCATCGACTTTTGGTCACTTCGCGGGGCTGGACCATTTTGCTAGTTTTTGTTTGGCCAATCAACTCAGGAAGTGAGTCTGCAAGGAACTCTAAGGAACCCGAGGGAACCCTAAGAAACCCAAGATGTCTCAACTCCCCCCCCCCTCTTGTACCGACCCTCCTTTGGGATTGCCCGGTACTGATGGAATCCCAAAGGCTTCTAGTCACGGGGTCCATTTATCCGCCACCAAAAGCCTGAAGACACCTCAAAATGCTCACTGAAAGGGAGCCAGAAAAGAAGCAGGGGTCCCTTGCTCTAGGAGGCAGTGTTTGCCTTTCGGCTACCCTTGGACCGGGCATTTCTAAGGTTACATTTTGAGGGCTCCGTAAAATCATGTTGACCCAGTGCCCTTGAAGCCACCCGTGGATGTCACTTCACGGGAAGCTTGCGGACTTCAAGTGAGTGCTCAACCCAAGTTGGACGCATCCTAGTGGATCCTACGCCTCTTTGGTCAGTCCCAGTTCTATTCATGATCAGTTGCCCAAATCCGACTTTTTGCCCTTTTGGTTCTGCTTTTTCCTCCGTAAAAGTCCCAAAAAGGTGCTCTCGGTTTATTTCTGGGTCCTTTGGGGAACAGTGCATGGTTATTGCAGGTTCGCCGGCGTTTCCAAGAGGGAGTTGCCCTGTGTGTTGTCGCCAAACAAAAGGTGTGTTGATAAAAGCTGGGAAAATCATCAGTCTTGTTTTTTGACCAATCCACTAGGGAAGTGAAGCAAGCGCCGGACGCCAGACCCGTTACCATTTGTTTGGGGCATACAAGTCAGTCTTTTCAGAGTTTGCATTTTCACTGCCTCTTAGTATATTGGCCGAGGATGTGAACCTGGATGTTAATTAGGAAGCCAAAGACCTTGTTATGACAAATTCATATGTTGGGGGGGAACCTCAGCGCCAAAAAGCACTTGTTTAAGGACCTCTAGTTTACAGATATTGATCCCGACTGCACTTGATGCATGAAACCCTATGGAGCATGTGATAAACCACCAATCCCAACTGGTGCATTTTGTGGAGTGTGTAACCATCCACAGTATGTTGGACCCACCATGACATATGTACAGGGCTCCCTGTACTCCCTTTTTGGATTGGCTTAAACATCACCAATTATTTGGTTTCGGTTTCCGTTTGGAGGATATATTTTTTTGTATGTGCTTGAATTGGATCCCCTCAACGACCAACATTTCCTGGGCCAGGGCTTCATGATTCTAAGTGTTTGCAGGCAGGTTATTTTTTTGTAGAAGAACACTGAGGCAGGGGTCCCCAGGTTTGAACAAGTAGGCCAAAACTGCCTATTGCTCTGTCCCATTTTTGTGGGTGCCACTCGTGGGTGCTGCGACTGAACCCACGCGCCAGGCCGGCTGTTCTTGCTTATCCTGGAGCGCCTTTGAACGCAGTTAGGCGATTGTTACTTTTTGTGGATAGGGACATCAAAAGAACGGCCACCATTGATGGGGGTCAACAAGGGGTGAGTCTGGCATTTTCGGCGGTCTCACCGAAGTTGGAGGGTCGAACAAGCTCACCATGATGTAAGTCGTTTGCTGGGGAATCTTTGCCGGACTGCAAGCCTGCGACCGATTCATGTCACATCCGCAGTGTTTGCTTGCTTTGGTTGCCTTTGCCTGCCTTCACCCGAGGCATCATCGTGGATTGATCATGAAGGCCGGAAGGGCGTAAAGGATTGGCCGATGTTTGGTAGGATTGGCCGATGTTCGTTAAAGACGCGTCTTCCATCAAAAAGTAAAGGCCGATTGAAAGCATCCACGCATGAACCCATGGCCAGTTTGGACCCTTGAAAGGCCTCCCTTCGTGTTCAGCAACAAGTAGCGTTTATGGGTTAATGTGATTAGCCATGATTCATTTCATCAACAGGGATGTCGCGGTAGTGACTGACCTGTGATGTTTGGCTCAAGTTTGCGGGTCCGTCGCGCCTCGGATGAGCGTCGCCGGGTCCCCGCGTCGATCACCTTCGTGTCGGTGGAGAAAGAGACATCGGCCCGGGGCAGATTGGTGGGGTCCGCCCGTGCGGTTCATCGTCGATCAAGGTTGCGGGTACTTGTTTACTTGTTTTGGTTTTCCCTTTTGGTTGTTGTTCTCTGGTGTGTGGGAAACCCTGATCTTTGGGACCGGGGATTGGTTTGCTTTTGGGGAACCTTTCTTTTGTGGCTTGTTTACCCCAACTTACCCATTGCCTGGGCACAGGCTCGTGCCCGAATCACAGGTTATCAGCCGTAGGACTTTCCTACGCGCTTGAGACCATCAACTACAAGCTCTATGTCGACCCCACGATCACACAGGAGTGTCGTGGATGAGGAGGCCATCCTAGGGGGCCTCCGCTCAGGTGAGGACCTACCGGACTACGACTACGAGGATTTCGAAGCAGGTTCGACAGGTCAGGATCGCAGGGGTGAAGATCCCGGTAGGGACACACCCAGGAGCCGTGGCAGGTACACCGACGATGGAGACGATCGCATTTTCCGTCAGGCCACTGATGATGAGCAGACACGAAGGGTTCGCTCCGATAGGAGCGGCTCTGAATCAGGTCACAGGCGCGGACAGTTCGACTTCATCAGCATGGCGATGAACATGGCCCGCCCTCATTCGGACGACCCGGAGGCTATGCCGACCCGACCCCCGAGATCTCTTGTTCCAGGTGAGTCTCAGGTATCGGATGAGTTTGAGGACAGGCCGCAAGGACCAGGGACTATGGTTTTGGCTCCGAGAGATATCTCGGGTCGATCCACTGGTTCTCAAAATCCAGGTCAGTTTGATGAGCATGAGGAGAGGAAATTCACAGGCTTCGGATACGATGATCTGTTGAAATCAACCGCAGGCTGGGGCAGTAGCGCAAAGCAGGAGTCTGATGCCGATAGGCCCAACCCTGTTGCTGCCGAGTTTGAGTTTGATAATGATGAAGATTATGCCGCATTTGCGGATCGTCGTGATGAAGAAGAGGATCAGTCACGCCGGAATGCTAGAATCCGTGCTGCCGCGAGGCCCAGGAGCCTCTCTCGTGGAGCTGCCAGGGACCTTCATGTTGACAGGGACGCCCGGAGCGAGAGAGAGAGAGCCAGGGATAGCCGGGAAGTTCTTAGGGGATTGGAGGCCATCCATGACCGGGAGGGACCGATAGGTCCCCCAGTGATTGGTGACACCCCGAACGTTCCCCCTTTTCCCAACATTACATTTGGAGGTCCGCTGCATCAGAGAGACGAGGACTCGAACCGGGTTACTGGTTCGCCAAGGATCACTGAACGGGCTGCCGATGTCGTTGGGACAGGTGCAAGAGATGGTCGGCTTGCCGATGCACTCGGAATCGAAGATCGTCCGTCGATCGCTAGCCCGTTAGGGCGAGATACCAGTGACCTTGAAACGCTGAGGTCTAGCAACGAGTTCACACCTCAATGGGGCTCGACCGCCAGGGAACGTAGTGCTTCTGCGAAGAGGCCGTCACCCCTCGCCATTGAGACCGATAGGTCAAAGGCGAGGAGGGCTAGCCCCTCACCAATGGGCTGAACCCCGCAGGATGAGGAGATGCCTGATCCTGCTGATGTTCACATTCATTCTACTCCCGAGTCTCGTGCATCCAACATTGATCCCCGATCTGGGAGAAGGGGATCTACCCCGAGTAGGCCATCCAGGATAGGTGAAGGTCCTGTAGGCGACCCCAGCAGACTTGCTAGAGCTAGTGGGGCTCCTGAGAGGATCGAGATATCGACTCCTCCTGCCCTTAGATCCCAGTCTTCCGGTGAGTCAGGTGACGCTAGGGCAAAGGAGGTGTTCGATTTACACATCCAGGAGATGCTCGAGAGGGGTGAGGTTTCTGGCTCAGTCGCGAAAGCGTTCCATGTTTTTGCTGACCAAATCAGGTTACTGAACGGTCAGGTGAGTTCCATGCGGAGGGAATGGAGCGACGAGAATCGGCAGACGAAGGACAAGGTCGATCGCCTGACAGCTGAGATTGCGACTCCGGTAGAATGCGAATGATAGTTCAACGGTTTGCCAAGGAAGTTATTCCCGACAGCAAAGCCATTGTGAGGCAAGCCATCGATGAACAGGCTGAAGTCGTGGAGCAGAGGATCAATCTGCTTTCCCACGCGGTTCATGAATCTGTTAAGGACAATGAGGTCGCAACTGATCGGCTTCGTCAGATGATTCAAGAGAATTGTGAGGCCGTCCACAGAAGCCATGCTGCTTCCGAGGATGAGATCCTTAAGGACTTGGACAAGCTTGAGGGGCGGATGTTCTCGGTAGAAAAAACCGTTGGGATGCGGACGCCAGCAGGTGAGTGGAATTTGAATCCTGCTGCGCAACCGCCCGATAGGGCTACTAGCAGTGGGGTAAACGCGAGTTTCAGGGAGCTGAACCTGAAGCTCGAAAAGGCTCTTCTTGAACACGAGAAGTTTGCTAAATGGGCCTCCGAATCTATTGGTGGCATTAATGAAGAACAAACCATCCTTGCTAATCGAAGGTCGAGGCTGCAAAGTGGGAGGGGGTCCCAGGCGATCGATAGATCATCAGGGCCTGTATCCCCGCAGGACTGGCATGAAGCAATTGACGAAGTCAATCAAAAGGTCCAGGATCTATCTCGCGGGGTTCAACGGCACCATGGGGATCATGACGATGTCATCGCGAGGTTTGAGACCTTGAAGTCCCGCGTTGAGCAGTACGAAGCGAGCTCGGGGATTCTGAATCAGGTTCTTGATGACATCAGAAGGCAGATCCGAAATCTCCCTGCGAATAGTGATCAAGCACGGTCTGCCGTTAGGCGTGAAATCGACTCATTCCGGAGTACGCTTGAAGGCGCTATGCGGAGAATCAGCACTGTCGAGAGTAACGTGCGTACTCTTAATGGAATAAACAACAGAATCATGGCTCAGCTCTATGAAATCGAAGGTCATGTTGATGAGGCTGCTGGCATTATTCAGGGTGTCCAGGAAAATCAGGTAAATCCTCCACAGCCCAGAGAAAGACGGAACGTTGGATACGACGCTTTCGCGGGGCAGGGACATAGAATCAGGTCTCCGACGCCCACTCCCGGAGAAGGTAACGGTCGGGGTACTGGCCTTCCGGTGAGACCGGGCGGAGGTGTTGATTTGGTTGATCACGCTTTGCCAGATGTGCCCGGTAGGGTCGATCCTTCTCATGCAGGCAGGCATCCCATTAATCCCGATAGGGAGAGGGCTGATAGCAGAAGCAGGAGGGCTCGGGGGCTGCCTGACAGGTCGCATTCACCGCCAGCGGGCGTGCGAGGGATGGCCCCCGCGCACGCGCAAGGGGGGACATTTCTGTTTCTCCCAACAGGGATGTGGGTAGGAATAGGAGCCCGAGGCCTGCTGCCGTCCCCGATAGGGGATCTGAGGTCCGGAGTCGGCAATCGAGGGGGGAGAGGCCAATCCGCGATAGCGGGAGCATCTCTCCGAACCTGGATAGGCCGATCCGCGATAGCGGGAGCGTCTCTCCGAACCCAGACCGTCATCCAGGAGGTGGTAGGGGTAATAGGGCCCATGCCGACATCCAGAGTCCCGGCGATAGCTGGAGGACTCCTGGGAGTAGAGCTCGTGCCGATATCCAGAGTCCCGGCGATAGCTGGAGGACCCCTGGAACTCCATCTGATCGTGGACAGGCCTCGGCACCGGCTGCGAGACGAACTCCCGGTACCGGTGGCCCAGGTGCGCCAAAGATCTGTGCCCTCGATGAACCCAACGACCGTCGGCACCCGGACGCTGAATTCTCATGTGTTACGTGCAATCGTGAGTTTTGCAGGCTTTGCCGGGGCGACGATGGGGACTGTTGCAATTGTCACTTCTTGAAGATGAAATGCTGGGCGTGTCATAAAAGTGCCCAGGAGGTTCCCATGTATTCCTGCACGGAGTGTGCGAACCACATCTGCGAGGACCACAGTCATTTTGGCAATGATGGCCTCGAGCGATGCGCGCGCTGTAATATTCGGCATGAACGCGCTGCGGCTGGACCGCCCCCTCCTCCTCCTCCTGGGGGAGGAGGTGGGCAAGGCGGACCATCCGGCCAAGGTGGGAGTGGAAGTGGTGGTCATGGACATGCTTCCGCCACCAGGACATCCCGGCGGAGGCCAGGGTCCTACTGGACCTCCAGGCCCGAGTGGAGGGGCTCCTACCGGGGGTTAAAGTGGTGGAGCACCTGGGTTCTATGGTAGTGCTGCTGATACTCATGGAGCTGGGAACAATCAGTGTGGCTCCAGTTTCTATGGTCCTGCCTACGGAGGTGGCGTTAGCCACCAAGGGATTGGCGCTGGCGTTAGTCAGCCCAACAATGCTGCAGGTTACCCCTCGAGTGTTGCGAGCGGTGGTAACCTTGGGCCAGGTCTTAGCCTTGGCTACAGCGTAAATGGGGCCGGCAGACAGGGAGATGGTGGTCTTCTCCCTGAAGCCTTGAGGCGAGATGATGGACGGGACAGGTGCACTAAGTGTAGCAGGATCCCTGAGCCTGGTTTCCCTCTTGTTCCTTGCGTTGGTTGTGGAATGAGGGCGTGTGAAGTTTGCTGCCCTATGCCTGCTAGACTGTGTGAAAGTTGCAGGATTACATCATGTACCCCGATAGGGGCTCTGATTTCCACTGTTGTTGATAAGGATCGGTTCCATCATAAGTGCAACACGATCGTGCTACCTGCTGAGCCGACAGCT